GGGGGGGGGATAGAGAATTATGATGCGAGTGGTCCATGCGTATCAGAAGAGGGAAGGAACGAGCAGAGGTCAGAAAGAGCAGCAGCCCTGCTGGGTGGACATGGGGCAGTGGGAGAGTCAGAAAGGCCTCCCAGTGAAGATGCCTCCAAGGCAGGTCTGGGAAGGTGGGTGTTTTAGGGATGGCTTACCAAGGGTGACAGCAGGAGCAGCGTGGAGAAGGTGGGAAGCTTAAATAATATGAGGAGCCCAGCACAGGCGAAGGGCCCCGTTAGGAAAGGAGGCTGGAGAGAGGTGTAGAGGAGGGAGGCAGAACTTTGTGTGCTGTGCTAAGAGTTTGAATGTTTTTCCTGTAAATGAAGGTGGAGTCATTGAGTGGTTTAATTGGGGCAATAGCGTAATCCCCTCTGGGCTCTGGACAGTTCACTCTGGGGCACATATGGAATTGGAAATATCGGGAGTAGGGGCAGTGGGGGAGACGAGAGCAGCTAGGGAAGCTCTGTAATGGTGCAGATGCGTGAGGAGCTCCACTACGGGGCAGCAGTGTTAAGGGTACAAGAGTCAAGGTGCTCTTAGAGAACTCGCGAATACACTGGGGGAACGTCGTGTTCGAAATAACTATCAAGGTATACGCACACACTCACAAATGGTCAGACTCAGATGCCTTAAGTTTAGGTGTTTGCCTTCAAGTTTTTTGCAAATCGGAGAGCCTGTACAATTGATCGTGAGTCCAGTGCTTAAAATTTCCGAATAATCCCTGGTATAGTTTTGGTGTCTAAGAGGACAATGGACAGAGCTTTCACAAAGTGTTAACAAATAGAAGAGTGTCAGTCTCTGCCAAGATTTTGATGACCTTTTGCTTAAAACTTGATTTCTCTGTATAATGCATCGTGATTTATGTTTTTGTTTCAGAAACAGGTCCAAGCGTTAAGGAACCGAGTCCAGTTTCTCCACGTAAGTCTTCATGCAACTATTTCGAAATAGAGCCTCCTGGGCTTTTATAAGAATGAGTTGGCTATGGGGCATTTGCCAAACTTTGAGTTCTGATAAGGAGACTTTGCTCTTACTCTCCCTCCCTGCTTTTTTCTTATACTTTCTTTTTCCTTTCCTCTGTCCTTATTTCATTCTCCTCTCTTTTTCCCTCTGTACCTTTGCTACTTTTAAATAAGAACTTGCTGACCCGTTGGCGTGTATGACCTTAACGGAAAGGTGGTAACTTTCTTAGGTTTAGAGAGAGAAGTTTGTTATTTGCGTACTTATATCGGTTGTGATCTGAAAGCATTCACGTACTGCTGTGGGAGTGGTTTGCTTTACCTGGCATCAACAGTGTTTACCTGCTCAGAGAAGTAGAGCTGAGGCAACTAGTTGTCCCTTCAAGACAATCTCTAGTCCAAGGGGTGTTGGGGGAGATGACTTGTAAAAAAAAAAAAGAGAAAGAGAGACACCAACTACTACAAAATGATGCATTGGAAATTATCTGGGCCAATTTCATAACTTTATAGGGAAGAAAACTCTGATCCAGAAACAGTTAAGTAACTTGCCCATGGTTGTAATTAACACGGAGGGAGGACTAGAACCTGGGTTTTCTGGCTGTACACCCAGAGCTCTTGTAGATGATGCTGCCTTGTGAGAAGAATCTGTGCTTTTTTTCCTTCCCTAAAACTCTCCAAATTAGTCTCTGTGTCTGACTCCATCATATATGCATGAAGTGTCAGTCTGGAGAATTCCTTAAGCCATTCTGTTAAGTGAGTGTATTTCTGTAACAATATCATGGAATAGTATCACGGACCCAGAAAGAGACGCATATGGACACATGCTCTCATACTTACCTAGTCTGGTTTTCGTAAGTGACATCTCCATCTTTAGAATTTTAGAATGTTTTCACTAAAAACTTTTAATCTGTAGGCATAAAAAGACAAGTCATCTTTTAACATCTGTTCTGCAAACTAGATTAAATTAGGTGGCTTGGTTCATCTTAGCCTCCAGAGAGTTCTTCCCTTTTCTTACTCCTTCTAGGGGATCCCCAACCCTTTCACAAACTCCTTTCGTTCACACCCTGCCTTCAGGAGGTGAAGTAGGGTTATCCCCATTTTTCAGAAGTTAAATGAACACCAGAGGGTTCTGGCTAGACAAGTAGGGACCAGAACTTTGGAATTTGGATCCTTCCAGAATCTTCTCCAGCATGACATACTTTTCCTGCACCTTTTCTGGAGCTGCTCAAGGGTCACATTTGTCTACAGCTGGATCTTTTACACTGAAGTGAGTTGAAAGGCAAAGATTTAATTTATATAGAGGTCACCTGGAGTCGCTTCTGACTGCAGAGGAACATAGAAACAGTACTGAAATAATGGGGAGAGCCTAGAGCTTAAATTAATAGTATAGAAGCAGAGACCTTAGACATCTCTATTCTACTGAAAACTCCTCTCCCTTGAAAACTGATTTTAACTTTTTACAAGTGATTCAAAGAAGGTAGTTCTCTTAAATGAAAGGAAATGTTCTATTTCTGGGGCCTGGAGTTAATTTCAAATATAAAAACCTTTGCCAAACAGAGAAACAATTGGTTCTATTTTTATGTTTTGCTGACCACAAAACTGACATCACTCCCCACTGAGAGGTATTTCCGTTCCCCTCATAGAAAGATCATGGTTGAAAAAGTGTTAAAAAGTAGGTTATTTTAAATGACACAATATGTAGCTGTTAAGATTGAGGGTTTACTATGAGGATATCAGTGAAATGTTGTAACCCGCAGGAATAGTTTGTCTTTATTTTACGTTTTCTCTTCTTCACCCCTTTCTAACCGTTATCTTTGCTTCTTTGAAATGTGCATGAAAATATGTTTGTAAAGTACCTGAAGTGTGTGTTTTCTGTGCAGTGTCTCATTGTTGGAAGTGTTCAATGAGTAAAAAGCAATGAGTCAGATTTTGATAATGGATGGTCACCTTATTTTCCAGAGCATCTTAACCTCTGAATTTTCAAGCCTCTTTTCCATTCAAATAGTAGGTCCTCAGACTGAGACCATGAACCATAGACTTAAGGTTTTGCAGAGTTTACCAATCTGATTTTTGTTTTAAATATGTTTGTTGCTCAAAATAATTGCATATTGAGGATATCTTGGAAACCTGATCATTTTTCTTCTGAGAAAATAATTGCAAGGTATAAATACAATATATTTTGTTGGAATCCTCATTTTATCCTCAGATTTTATCAGTCGGTGCTCAGCTTTTGTGACAGTGCTTGTAAAACAAATATAAAATTTCAACATATGATGCAGACTAACTTAAAGTGTGTATTGGTTTCCCTTCCTCAGCAGTTTTCCATGGTCTGGACACCATCACCGTGATGGGCATTGCGTTTGCAGCATTTGTGATTGGAGCGCTCCTGACGGGGGCCTTGTGGTACATCTATTCTCACACAGGTTAGTGTGACTGTTGAGTAGTAGTTGGTTGGTGCACATCCCGGGTGCCTGCCACACTGCAGACTCTCAGTGTTCCGTTGCATGGATGAATGGATGAAATAATGGGTGAAAGAGAGAGAAAGTTCATTCCCCCTATTTTCACATTTATGTATTCGGCATAAAGTAGGTTTTGCAAAAATGTAATTTGCTTTAAACAGTTTTAGGAAAAGGGATGTTTAAACTACTTATGTTAATTGCAATTGAGATGTTGGTGAAGTTTAGCTTCTAATAAAGCTATTTTGTGGTTTGGGTTTAATTAAAGGAAGGTAATGTAGACAAACTGGAAATATAAAGTATTCCCCCAATGCTAAAGACTTCAGTATAGAAATATAAATGGGCAGGAAGTGAAAAGGGAAGCCAAGATTTCATTACCACATCTGCCAAGGTGCTGAGCACTGCCCACCAGAGTCCCTAACCAATGGTTTAATCCAAAATTTCTCAACCTTTTAAAAATTCATACCATGTCCTCTTTGATACACATAAAAGTCTCACTTCTTTCTATAAAGTTATTTAAAATTTCAAAATATATTTTCATGAATTGTAAACAAACAAAAATGGTGAAACAAAGATTCTTGTTTTCAAGTTATGCTCCTCCACCCCCAAAATTCTTTTTTTAAATATGTTTTTATTGATTTTCAGGAGAGAGAAAGGAAAAGAGAGAGAAACATCAAATAAGAGAGAAATACCCTCAACAATAAAGATATTTTTTTTTTTAAAAGAATGAGAAAACCCACAGAATGAGAGAAATATTTGCAAATCATATATCTGATAAAGGGTTAATATCCAGAACATACAAAGAACTCCTACAATTCAACAACAAGAAAACAAACAGCCCAGTTCAAAAATGGGCAAAGGACTTGAATAAACATTTCTCTAAAGAAAATGTACAAATGGCCAATAAGCACATTAAAAGATGCTCAGCATCACTAATTATTAAGGAAATGCAGATCAAACTATGAGGATACCTACTTCATACTGATTCAGATGGCTAATATAAAAAAAAAAACACAGAAAATAACAAATGTTGACATGAATGTGGAGAAATGGGAACCCTTGTGCATGTCTGGTGGGAATGTAAAATGTCGCAGCCACTGTAGAAAATAGTTTGACAGTTACTCAAAAGTTAAATGTAGTATTACCATATGATCCAGCAATTCTGCTTCTAAATATACACCCCGAAGAACTAAAAGCGGGAACTCAAGCAGGTACCTGCACTCCCGTGTTCATAGCAGCATTATTCAGAATAATCAAAAGATGTAAAGAATCCGGCCCAAATGTCCAGTAGGTGATTGTGTAAACAAAATGTAGTATATACTGCACATGCACTAAAATATTATTCAGCCTTTAAAAGGAATGAAATTCTAAACGTGCTATAATGAAGATAACCTTGAGGACATACGCTAAGTGAAAAAAATGACAAATACTGGATGATTTCATTTATGAGATACCTAGAGTAGTCACATTTATGAGACAGAAAGTAGAATAGAGGTTACAAGGGCTGAGGGGCGAAGAGAATGAGTTTATTGTTTAATGGGTACAGAGTTTCTCTTTGAGATGATGGAAATTAAATAATGGTGATGGCTGTTCAACATTGCAAATGTTCTTAATGTCACTGAATTATACACATAAAAACAGTTTAAGTGTAAGTAAATAAGTAAATAAATAGAAATAAAAATCTGTAAATTTTCATTTTGGTGAGGTTTTTCCTCTAGGCCTATGTTGGTTGCAATTTTATACCAATTAATGTCTTGATCTCTTGATATCCTAATTGTAATTGTTTCATAAGCTCACTCCTTTAGTTTAGAGAAGTTTTCAGTCACTTTTTATTGATTTCAAAAATTAGCCCTCCCCATTTTCCAAGCTAAAAGACCTCCCTTTTGCAGGGAAAACTCTGTAAGGGATGGGTTAGTTGTTGTTATAATTTATCTTTACTTGAAACTTGCCTTTGTGCCCCTGAACAGAATGCACTCAAAGTTTGATGATAATAAGAGGAGGAACAAGAGAAGGCAAAGGGAAAGAGGGTGGGGACAGGGTAGGCCACCCTCCGTCTGTGTTTGCACAACCTAATCCAGGTATATTAATTATGTTTCCCTTTAGTAAACATGGAGATGATCCCAACTCCACAGGCTTATTGAAGGTGAGAGTGCACGTGAAAAGCTTTCTGAGATCCAGAGTCTTACAAAAATATAAGATATTTAAGGTTGCTTAGATGTGTAGGCAGAAAAAAAATCTGAGTGGAAGGAATACTGTGTTTCACAGAGCAGAATAAAATTCTGGGATCTTGAATTCGGTGTCCCTATTCCAGGCCCTCAGGCTTCTACTCAGCAATCCTCAGTGGAACAGACCGTGTGTTCTTGAAGCACATACCCAGGTCAGGTTACTCAGGTCTACCTGAGTCAGGTTATTAAGAGCTTTTCATTAGGAGCATCTCTGGAGGTTTCAGATGCTTTTAGAGAGCTGAAGTTTCTCCAAGCTCCCACCTCTGTCCAGGTGAAGAGAGAAACAGCAAGAGATAGGCTAACATGTGACTAAGTAAGAGGCAAGAGCCTAAGTCTGAGGATCAGAAAAATGCAACTGGAACAGATGGGAACACTGTGGTGTGACTGCAAAGGCAGGGTACGCTCTTCACCCAAGGGCTCAGGGTACGTTGAAGTGAGATACCCACTGAAAACCCAAGTGTAGATGCACACAGGTTGGCTATGCTGCAGGAATATAGACAGAAAGTGGTAGGCAGGCCATGGAGAAAGATTTTAATTCCTGCCTTGGAACATTTCTCCTTTTCCCCATAACTTATAGCAACATCTAATCCGCCCTTCCTGCTGAGTCTTGGCTGCAAGAGAAGGTCTTCGAGCTTGGAGAGTGGGGTGGGACAATTTTTGAAATTGATAAATAGTGATTGAAAATGTCTCTAAACCAAGGGTAGTCTAGTTCACTCTCCTTACAGGAGTGGGTTTGTGAAATAATTACAATTAAGATACCAAGAGATTAAGATATTAATTGGTACGGAATTGCAATCAACACATAGACCTTGAGGAAAATACTCTGTCTTCTTTCCAGCATCAAGTAATGTTAAATCTAAATCACCCCAGGCATATGGTTTTCAATCCAATGCTTAAGTTATCTCCCAAGGAAGAAATTCCATACATTCCCCCTATAACTAACAGATCCTCGGAATCAACAAGTTCTTTTCTGCGTGACCCAAATCCCTATCACCCTGCCATTTAAACTCATTTCCTCATGTTCTGCCCTCAAGGGAGAAAAAGATCAGCTATCTGTTCCTCTTTGCAATTATCCTCCATGGGCAATATTTGCAAATAGTCTCCTTTGAAAGGGCTAAATAATCAAGATGCCTCTCGCCTTTCTCTAAAATTCTTCCAGTCTGTGGTTTCCCCAGAGAGCCTCCCCATGTCATTCACGTCTTTCTTAAATCAAGTTTCTTCCCCAGGACCTGCCATGCTGAAAGTCTTAAAGATAAGGAAGGACCCAGTTGTAAAGTTAGACCGCCAAAGAGGTGGCAAGAAATCAGATCCAGACAACTCCATGCCAAGCTAAAGAAATAAAACAGATTATCCCTTAAAAAAATTTTTTTTTCTGTTTCTGAAAGTTTCTCTGGCAATATGTAGGCTCAGCCACAGAGCTGGGTAGAATTAAACTTTGTCCTAACACACCCTCCTTCTGAGTACCCCATGCACCAAACGCCTCTTTCCTCTACTTACTCCCTGTTCTCCAAGCCTGTCTTCCTCAATGTGGTTGAGATTTTAGGAACAAAACATGAACACTGAAGACATCTCCAATGGCCAAGTTTGGTATTTGCGAGCAAGACGCTGTCCTTAAACCCCTTGCATTGAGTGGGCCTATTCTGCTTAACCCTGAGGCCCTCCCTGCCCATCTCCAGAAGGAGGCTGATTGTATTTGTCACGCAAGGGATATTTTAGAGAAAGTCAGTGCTCCAAGAAGTCAGAGGTCACCCAGGGTTTTTTTCATTTTTTAAACAGAAGCATCTGCACATTAAACTTCTCTTCTCATGGCAACTTTTTGTGTAGAACCACTTCCATCTGACAACAAAAAAGCCTTTTTTTGTAATTTCTCAAAAGGTACAAGTTTTTCACAACTTGGTTCTATTGAGAAATGTCATGTCTTAGATGTGAAAATAGTCACAGAGGTAGAAGGGGTCGTCTAAAGATGGTCTTTTCAACATTTCCAAGCAGATTCACAGGCAGATTCCCCTTGGCACACTGTCGGCCCAGGTCAGTGGATTATTAGGTTAAATTGACGTATGCACCTTGATGAAACGTATCCTGCCATCTTGAGTATAAGGGGCTTCTTTGTTTTGTTTTGTGTGGGTTTCATTTTGGACAGTGCTTTGCATCAACAGCACAGAGTTTCCAAAACTCAGGAAGTTGAAAGACCTTTGTAATGGGCACTGATTAAAATAAACTGACATAGCAACAAATTATATTCAGCAAATAGACATCAGAAAGCAAGTATTGAGACTTCCTGGGCAGGGAGTGGTGCTGGCACGTTTCCTGAGTGTGACTGAATAGTCAGGCACGTGTCGAACTCTGGATGGGACACACTCGTCCACTGTCAGTAGCGAGCCAAGGCCACCTTGCTTGAACTGCTCTCAGGCTGAGCAAATGAAGCCCAGGTGAACAAAAAGGGGCGGTCGGAGTGTTGTCTTACCTCCTGCTTTTCTAATACATCCTTTATTTAAATGGGGAAGATATACATTTAGAATGCTTCACACAGCCACATCCGTCCTTCTAATTAATAACATGAGGCAGCTGGGTGTGGGTGAACATGTGAATTGTGAGAAGGCTGAATTTTTAAAGTGTATCACGAGTTGTTTGGGTCCCTGGATGTTTGGTGTGTTTTTTCTTTGTTTTTCAGTTTTGGTGGTGGGGAGTGTACGTCAGAATAACTAAGAGATTTGATTTCTTTCTAGAAATAAAGCTTGCACTGTGGGGAAAGTAAATTTGTGGCAGAAAGTCACTGTCATTGAGGCCAACTTGCCCACCTCTAATCACATACACACAGGACGGGTAGAGGGCAGGCCTGGGGAGGGTCAGAAGCATAGATTGCCAGAAAAAGAAGAGGGAAAATACAGTGTTTTTCTGCTGCTACGGAATACTGACCTCCTACCTTCTCTCCATCCCACCAATACCAGAAGAAAAGATAATCAGAGGAACTATAGCAAGGGCCAAATATGTGAGAAGCACTGTAAATGCCCTGAGGTGGATGCAAAAATGTGTGTTGTGGCTGTGCGGTTCCTGAAACGGGCGGGGAGGCTCTAACCAGACGCGGGGGCATGAGCTGCTTCTACCTTGTGCGGAACTGCTTTTTTGGCGGAGGCTTTTGAGGGGCCCCTGGAAGGGAATGGCAGTAACAGGCTAAGTTCCTGTACTTGGAGGGCAGAGCCTGTGCTCGTGTGTTTTCAGCTGATAGCTGTGTATTTTCAGCGAGACAGGAAAGAGGAGGCTCTTCCATAAACAGACGGGAGGGGGCTGGGGGGAGACTGCTGACCAGTCCTCTATGACATTTGCACTCTGACTTTTCCAAGAAAAAGCAGTGTTTGTCATTGGAGAGCCTTGATCACTTTTCCTACCTAGAGTCATTTCTGAGGGCTGCCCTGAGGCCAGTTTCACTGAAGAAAAAACTTAACTCTAGAGACTTCTGCAGTGCTAAATGCAAACCATGTGTGTGACCCCGGGTTTCCTCCCTCTGCAAAGCACTGCACATTTGGCACAGGGATGAGTTTAGCTGAAATGCAGTGGGGTATGTAATGAAAAGTGGGATGTTTACTATGTTAGGAGATACTCACTGCACCCTACAGGGAGCCTCAGGATGGGGGGAGTGTGTCCTGGCAGCTGCAGTTCCCATGTGTGAACAGCTGAACTCTTTCCCCAAAAGATGTTTCTGAGAGTAGGCTCCTCCACCTCCAGTTCTTAGGTCCTGTGCTTGGGGCACAGGGCTCTCTCGTTTGGCGAGGGTGAAACCTAGGCTTCACCACCTCTGTTTTGAACACATTGAGAAAGGGGTCCTCAAACTGTCAGTGGTTTCTTATTACAGTTTCAAGGTCTCTCCTTCCAAACCCTATGGTGAGAGGAGATGGACAGTGTCTCCTGAATACAGGTACTGGTCAGTTGGATCACACAGCCCAGGTGGCAAAGGTTTCTTCCAAAGTTGTAAGCACTGAAATCCTGGGGATTCATCCTCAGTCATCAGGGGTATTAACCACTGTAACTGCCTGTCAGCCAGAAAACAGTTCTCGCTTTCCCGTGCAAGAGACTTTAAAAACAATAACGCCAACAGACAGAACAACCGTGTGGTGTAAGGCCTTCAGGTCTAGTTGCTTCTGCCCACGATTGAGAACAGCAGATACAATGGCAGAGGGAGAAATGGTCTTTCGGGAATGCACACACGCATAACGTGTCTTTCTTCGCCCCCTTTCTTTACCGACTGCAGGGGAGACTGCAGGAAGGCAGCAGGTCCCCACCTCCCCGCCGGCCTCCGAGAACAGCAGCGCAGCGCACAGCATCGGCAGCACGCAGAGCACGCCCTGCTCCAGCAGCAGCACGGCCTAGCCCAGCCGGCGCTGCCGAGGGCGCGGCCCGACAGCGAGGGTGTCCACGCTCCGGGAAGGCTTGATCGTGGTTCCTTTGTAAAGGGAGAGTGAATTTCAGTGTAAACATCGTCTGTTGTATTTACCCCCCCGCCCAGGGCTACTCTGAATGTGACCCCTGGACTTCTGTGTGAGAAAGCTAAGGTCGTGGCCTTCTGCACCAGCCTCTCACAGGTTTGGGGGTTTTCAATGTGAAACACATGCCAGTTTTTTAAATGCTGCTTTGTTCAGGTAAGAACATCTATAACGTGGGGCCCTGAGTTTTACCGAGACTTCAGGAGCTGGTAAAAGGATAAGCCAGATAGTAAGCAGAACCAGTGAGATGTGGCCAAAGATTCCTTTGTAACTGAACCAAGATGTAAAACAAATGCTTCAAGACTTTCTAAGTGCATTCCTCCATGTGTAATTCGCACCTTCTGGATGCACACTTCTCACCTTGCTACCACACCCTGTGAGGGCCATGTGTGCTTAATAGGTGCTGCCCTCAGGGACTGCATCCTGACACACATCGAGGGGACATTCCTTTCTCGTGCCCTGGGCCAAAACCAATGCTGATTGCATTCTCAGCTTCCTCCCTCTTCCCACCCCAGCACACCGACTGCAAAAATGTCTTAATGCAAATCTCATATTTCTCTATAGGCATATAGAAATTGAAAATGGACAAAATCTGGAACTGCAGATGTGTGTCCATTTATTACATTGTGTTCTGATAAATTAATGTATAAGGGCAAAAATTAGTTGTAAAATTAAGGAGGAATTTGCTCGGTGATATATATGCCAGTAAAAGTACATAATATTCATCTGGCACATTCATTTTCTCAGTTAAAGAAGAAAAAATTAGTTCCCCCTTTAGAAATGTCCTATGCCTTTAGAGTTGAAACTTATTCTTAAATATACTTGGGAGAACATGTCACCTTTTGAATAGACCCTTTTGTAAAAACCAAGCTCATGTAAGATGCAAATGCAGGGCAGATCCTGTTATTTGAACAGTGTCACCAATTCTGCCAAGAAAATGCTGAGATAGAGAAAAGGGCACTCTCTTGGATTGATGTAGTTCTCTTGCCTTAAATATATCCCAAACTCAAAAAGGATTTAAGGTGGAAAAATGGAAGAAAATGGAATAACATCATACCACTTTGCAGCTAAAATAAGCTCAACTGATACCTCTATGTTAAAACAGAAGCCAGAGGAAAATTTCCATGCCAAATCATTTGCTACTGAGGATAGCTTCATTGCAAATATTATTCTTTTTCCAGAATTGCCCCAAACAACTCAACATTCTACAAATAGAACAGACTAGATTCTACCCCAAAATATTCAGAAGCAAATCTCACTGCCCTTATAGTAAGGAAGTTGTTGTGCCTGTTTCTCTGTGAATGGAACCTTCAGTAGGAAATGTTGATGACACCCAAGACCTAAGGGCAATGTCTACAAGGCAAACAAGGTTGCCCAATTGTAGAGTAATATTCCGATTGATTTGATAGGCATAGATATTCAATCAGGACAATTTTAACCAAAAGAAATAACTTGAAGGCTAAGATTTCCAGGTTGCACATTGAAAATTTTGCATATTTCCACATACAAATGAAGATATAAGATTAAGAGAATTTTTTTCCTTTAGTTGACTTTTTTTAACATAAGGGTATCAGAGTGGAGGCCCTAGATTACGCTACCTGTGTTTGAAAATAATGCGCTTTGCCTAACCTTCAGCAGAATGTATTGTTTTAGCATATTCTTTGTATAAAAAGGTTTAAAGATGTCTTCAAAGAAGACTAGAGTCTTTAAGTCACTTATAGCTATATTTTACTACAAAAAAATTGTGTATAAAGATATATTTAAGTGTTTTAGATTTTTAAAAAGTTACTCGATATGAAATGTTTAATTTCAGTTACTGTGAATTGTTTTGATCAGTTCTTTGCTTTAAAAAAACAAAAACAACAAAAAAGAAAACACCCTTGCCATCCTGTTAAAAAGAAAATTAGCTATTAAGAAATATTAAAAGATCCAATTTTTAGATGGACAGGGTTAAAATTTTTTGTAATATATTTAAATTTATATTTTTTAGAGAGATGCTACATTGCCAATGATTTTATAAGTAATTTAAAATTAATTTACAAATTTATAGATTAAAACCAAAAGATTTTAAAAGAAAGAGAAGAAAAAAGTCAACTTTTATTTGTTTGGGTCTGATTGTCAAACGTATTATTCAGATCAAGAAATCCATGTTGATACAACTTGGTCCATGTTCATTGGAGAGTGAATGTCATTAAGTATTTCTGAAATGTTTCTTTTAAAATGAGCATTAAAAAAAATAGTGTTTTCTCCCTAGCCTCTTGTTACAGCATTTCCAATTGCTTCAGACTTCACAGTTTTAATACAAAATACAAGCTCAACTTTATAACACATTTTGCAAGTTTCTATAAGACTGTTGTTATATTCCAGTTAAACTCTTCTATCTGCTGTCTTTTGTTACTTCTGCAGGCTACACCCTGAATTTGAAGAGGCCGTTTTGTTTTGTTTTTTTGATGCTAATGTTGTTGAAATGCTCTAAGCTCCAAGGCAGATTGTCCTGTAACATCCTGTAGCTTTTCACCATGTGGGGTTTACCAGCTGTTACTCTGTATTTTAAAGTCAGAAACCCCTTCTGTCGAGGCTGTTTCCATAGCATTTTCTGAACCACCACCGCAACAAAAATGGCCCTTTTCGTTGTCTGCAGTAAGATTGTAAACCCATTTCCTGTGTGTGTTCTGTAGCGGGCGTGGCTGTGAGCCCGTGGGGGTGCCCGCACTCGCATGCCAGTCTTTTCCTACTGTAACTACCTCATGGTGTGAATGACGGTTGTACTGCTGGTTGTGTTAACAGAGCACATTTTGTTGGGCGAATCGTGTGTGTGATTTTTTTTCTCTTCCCTGTTTGTTTTAGCTGGGGGTTGTTCATGAAACTGACAGATGTTTTTCTACAAAGGTCTATTATCAGTTTCCAAATACAATACTTCTCTCTTCTGGTTTTTCCTGAATGAGCCTTATTTTGTTGCTGTTTTTCGTCACCTATGAGGGTAAAAAGAGTGCCCTTAAAATCCCTGTGGCCAGTTTGAACGCCCCTATTGTATGTAGCCTTTCCTCTGTTCAATGTGTTGGCAATTTGTGAACATGCTTAGATGTATAGTTTTGATAACCACAGTTTTAAGTACTTTATTTGTGCATAATAAAAAGATATATATCAATTATTAATACATGTCGTGTTTGGTCATGTTAAATTCTGCCCTCAGGCTGATGCAACCCTTTCTCATTGGAACTTCCTCCTGACTGTATCTTCGCACCCAGCTGTGCTAACGGGGGAGGGGCTAGGAGGGTACCCGGGGCTCCCGAGACAGAGCAGAGGGCAGGGGCCACTGCCCGGAGAGGGAGGGAAAAGCTCTTCTCGGAAAAATATGGCAGGAGACCTAAAAGTGGGTGTCAGCTTTGGAATCCTTTCCTGGGCTTTCAGTCAGTCTCCTAGGGGCAAGGGAAGAGAAATAACATGTGCTTGGGATCGACTCTTTTCATCCCCTTCAAATACTCCAGCGCTCCTTGTGCCATCCTCTCAATATGGCACCACCACCTTCCAGCCGCCCAAGCCAGAAACCTGGGAATCAAGCTCGGCTCCTCTTTGGCTCCCACACCCCCAAATGAATAAATCCAAGTTTATTCCACCTTTGGAATATCTCTTTCTCCAAACCACTCAGTTATTTCTATTCCTACGGCAGTCGCCCAGACTCAAGGCCCATTGCCTCTTGAGTGGAATCACTGCAACAGCCTAAGCGGTGTGCTGGCCTCCCGGCTTGCTGCCCTCTAATTCTTTCTCCACCATGCAGCCAGAGGAATCCTGGAGAGACTCAAATCATGTCACTTCCCAATTAAAGCCTTTGGGTAATTTCTCCATTTGCCTTCAGGATGAAATTCAACCTCCTACACACGGTTTGAAGAGACTACTCTGCCTACCTCCCAGGCACTTCTCTCACCTCTCTAGAGCTCATCAGATATATTTATGTTATGAATACAAATTTTTTCTATCAAAGGTTAAATTATAACATTGAATATATGTTTTCAAATTGCACTATTATATCCCTATCTTCTCCCCTCTAAGAATTAGTAATGTAGATGTTAGAAAGAGAGAATATATGTTTTCAAATTGCACTATTATATCCCTATCTTCTCCCCTCTAAGAATTAGTAATGTAGATGTTAGAAAGAGAAACCTGAAAAGGTATCAGGGCCAGCTGACCACCCCTCACACCTCACACAGGTAGGTGCTCCCAGCAGGAACAGTGCGAGGGGCTTCCACAGCATCTCACCGCAGTGAGGTTGGAGTCCTTGTTACAGATGAGAGTCCAGCCGTTTTCCGGTACCAAGATTATACTTGGAGCCAGCTCCTCTCACAGAGGATAGAGGGAGAAATGGGCAGTTCCACTAATTTTTCTGCCATTAAACTCTCCTTGTGTCTACTGGAGCAGAAACCTAGGCGATCCCTAAAGGGGCTTCAGAGAGTCTGTTAACTACATAAAATTATATGTAACATTTTGTATTGATGTAACTGGGCCTTTTTTGTTGTTTTGGGTTTCTTTGGTGAGAGAGTCCATAGCCTTTTTGTAGTTATATCTACTAAAAAAAGTGTTTTTCTTGCACACACAATTAATATGTATAAAAATAAATACAAACAACCAGACATAGGTGGCAGTGAAAAATCCCCTGTAATCCTCACACTTAGAGATAACACTGATTTAGTGTATGTGCCCCCAGACATTTCCTTATGTTCATATCAACATGTATATGCCACTATAATAAATAAGATCGTATTATAATATTTGTGACTTGCTTTTTTCACATGGCATATTTTCTATGAGGTTTCATTAGATGAGTGCCAATCATCAATATTTTACTAGATTTTTCTTAAATTGCCAGAGTAAAATATGGCATTGTAGGAGGCAAAATGAAACAAAGTTATTTGTTAATGCTCTTTCCCACCCCCTTCAGTCACTTCCCTGGAAGAACTGATGTTAACAGCCTTTTTTTCTAACTCAAACATACAAAACATGTGTTCACAAATAGAGAAATTTTTGTTTTGTTTACTAAAATGGGATCACAATATACATACTCTGAAACTTGCCTTTTTCACTTAACATGGACTTCTCTCTAGATTAATAAATACAGAATAAATTCATGGTTTTTAATAGCTGTATAATATTTCATACAGTGAATTTAGCCAATTCACTAGTGACAGACATTTAGAGGTGTTATTTTCAGGTTTTTGCCAAGATACTCTGCTACAGATAATATTCTTGAATATAGGTCCTTGCATTCTAATGCTTTAAAGGAAAAAAAGTGACAGTGTCACAAAGAGAAACTGACAAATTCATCATCTTCAAATCATAAGAGGATTTTAATATATTACTCTCAGAAGCTGACAAATCAAAAAGATTTGGAGCCCAGCTGGGCATGGCTCAGTGGCTGAGCATCGACCTAGGATCCAGGAGATCCCTGTTTGATTCCTGGTCAGGGCACATGCCCAGGTTGTGGGCTCCATCCCCAGTCGGGGGCGTGCAGGAGGCAGCCCATCAATGACTCTCATCATTGATGTTTCTATCTCTCTCCCTTCCCTTCCTCTCTCTGAAATGAATAAAGATATATTAAAAAAAAAAAAAAAAAAGTTTGGAATAGAAGATTTGAACAATGCAATTAAGCTTGAACTAATGGGCATACGTGGAGTCCTGCATCCCCAAATATGAGAATTTTGATGGAATATTTATAAAAATTGACCACTACTAGACCATAATGGAATGCTCAGCAAATTTCACAGAACGTGATGATACTGATCAAGTTCTTTAATCACAATGCAAGTAGTTTCAAAATCAGAAAGGATAATTTAAAAATATTCAATACATTTGAGAATTTTAAAACACTTCTAAATAATGTATTGTTCAAAGAAGTATTCATAATAGAAATAAAAAAATAGACTTGAAAAATAATGAGAATTCTAAATTCAAACATGCAGCAAAGTAGTAATTTATGAGAAATTTATAGCTGTAAAATGCTTATACTGGAAAAAAAAGAGAGATTGGAAATGAAAGT